TCACAGCACCATTCACTCTAGGACTCATGTTATCCCACTTCTGAAGCTTGACCCTTCTGAGTTCTCCAACAAATGCCTATGAATTATAAGACTTTCCAGTCTGGCTGGTGAGAATAGGAATTATTCCTAGTCTTGTCCACTATTTTCTCTAATCTTTTAGGGTGGTGTTTTTTCTGACTTTGGGTAGTCTTCTCACATGCAGCGGTGTGCCAAATTCTTGAGTGGGACCCTCTGAACTGAAGAGCTTTGAAGTTCTTCCTCTCTGTAGCTGTCTCCTTTCCTGTGAACTGTAGCTTCCTTGATCTCCCTTGGCTCTCAGCTCTGTTTCATCAAGTCAGGAAGTCCACTGGCATCTGCCTGGATCACCCTTCCCTGTGCCATGGCCTGGAAACTCTCACATCAGTAAGTAGAAGTCATAGGGCTTTGTTTTCTGCCTCTCATGAATTACTGTCCTTCCTTAACTGATGACCAGTATCTTAAAAAACCCTAGTTTTGTATATTTTGTCCAGTAATTTAGTTGTTTCTTATTAGAAAGTAAATCTAGGGCCTATTACTCAATTCCAGCTGGCATCAGAAATCTACTGACATAGTTTCTGAAGTTTATCAATGAGGATGCCTGAGGTTCTTTACACATGCTCCCCCAAATTTATTTTTTAAAGTTTGGTTGAAAAAGTTTTGAAATCTTTATAAAACATAACAAAGAATAAAACATAACAAAGAATTAATACATGTTTGTCAAGACCAAGACTTTGGAGGAAGGAAGTAAACTGTGAACAATGTCAGATAAAGCACAGCCTGGCAGCTGCCATGCCCTAGAGGCAGACAGAGAAGTTAAGAGGCACCAGCCTGGATGGAAAACCTACCAAGGTTGCGCCACCGAGAGCGAAAAGGAAAGAACAGCTGTGAAGGAAAGAAGAAAGGTGAGAGGGAGGGAGACATCTAAAGGTCAAACCTCCTGTCTCCAGGGTTGCCAAACCCAAGAATTTTGAAAGGAGAATCATTAGCAATTGTGACTGGTTGAACACAGGCATTAGGAGGAAGTTGAGAGGGAATACTGAGAATGTTCAAAAACATTATTACAAAGAAAAAGTTATGTTATGTTATCGGTTCTCAAAGGTTCCTGAGATCCTTTCGGAGTCCTCAGGGTTAAAACTACTTTCATAATAATTCAAACATGGTATGTGTCTTTTTCATACACATGTAGAGGGGACTTTTCCAGAGACGACATGATGCACAACAACTCCAAGATTGAATGCAGAAGCAGATATGAGAATTTACCTGTATTCTGTTGAGCTGAGCATTAAAGAGATTTCCAGAACAACGTAAACAAAGTTTAAAAAGTCATTCTTTTTGATACTTTTGATTTTTTTAAAAAAATTGTTTTTATAAAAGAGGTGCTATTTATGTTACCAGGCAATGAGTTTATCAGCATTTTTAAATAATTGTTAAAAATTATTTTTTTTTATTTCTCTGTTTTAATATCTATGTGGTTAATATCAATCAAGTTAACCATGTAGACACAAGCTCTTTAAAGTTCTGGACAGACTTTAAGGGTTCGAAGTGGTCTTTCGACCAAAAGTTCAAGAACATGGCTTTACATAAAGCTTCTGCAGCCCTCCGAGACCACTGTGTAGCTCACGAAAGTGTCTACCTAGGAGCAAGGAGAAAGGGCAAAGAGGTCAGAAGAGAGGAGCACCCTCGTCAACAGCTGCTTCACCCCGACCCTGATTTCAAAGTGATGCTTCACAGCACAGAGGCCCCTGTCTGCTTCCCCATAAGGACCTGTGTCCTAAGTCATTGCTGATATTTGAACTGCTCCTTTAGAGGGCACAAATCCTGCCCTGAATTTCCCAAAATCACCAATTCCCTTTCCAATTTACTGCACCACAGCTTTCTTAACTGTTCATCTGACCTATGCATAATAATTGGCCCTTATGTAGGAAAGAAATATCTAGATTTCAGGCACCTATCGGGTTACTGACCATGATTCAGACACTTTAATAGGACAAATCACATTTAATACTCATAACCATGAATGGTATTACTACTTTGGGGGGGAGTTTTTGTTTTTTGTTGTTGGTGGTGGTTTTGGGGAGTTTTCATTGTTAGATTCGTTTGTTTGTTTGTTTTTGAGACAAGGTATCACTCTGTCACCCAGGCTGAAGTGCAGTGGCACCATCTTGGCTCACTGCAGTCTCCACCTCCTGGGCTCAAGTGATCCTCCTATCTCAGCCTCCCAAGTAGCTGAGACTACAGGCCTGGACCACCACAACCAGCTTATTCATTGTTTACTTTTTAATTTTTGTAGAGACAGGGTCTTGCTATGTCACCCAAACTGGTCTCAAACTCCCAGCCTCAAGTGATCTTCCTGTATCAGCCTCCCAAAACTCTGGGATTACAGGAGTGAGCCACTACGCCCGGTTACTGCTCTTATTTTGTAGACAGCAACAGACATCCTAGAGAAGTTAAGGAACTTACCCAAGATTACCCAATGAGTAAAATAACTGAACTGGGATCCAACACACTCTCCAAAGTTGATGGTCGTCCGCCTTCACATTGTAGCCTTTTACTGTTCTACCATTGACCACTTTCACTTTGTAAAGTTAAAAAGCACCCTAAAACATATCAGAGTTTGAGAGTTGCAATCCAGAACCAGAGGAACTGTAGAATGATGGTTACTAGCATAGGCAACGGAGTCCAACTGCCCCAAATGTATCCCAGCTCTCCTATGTACTATCTGTGTAGCACTAAGCAAGTCATTTAACTTCTCTTATGCCACAATTTCCTTGATGGCAAAATTATGTTATCAATGGTCCCCATTTATTGGGTTGTTGGGAGAACAGAATAAGTTAATAAATAAAAAAATATTTAAATATTGTCCAGCACATTGTCAATGGTGGAGATGATCATTACCTGTCAAACATTCATTATATTTGGGTAGTTATGTACTCAGCCTTCTGAACTTATAAAATGGGCATCATATACCTATGCAGTTATACCAGAGAGATATTGAGAAAATTACATACAATTAATGTATCTGACAGTGTTTCTGCTATGCAAATAAGCAAATATCACTGGAGCTTCATTGGGCATAAACTCACAGTGTGATGTCATTTTGGAATAGGGAGTTTTCGGTAAAGAGTAGGCCAGTATTTCTGGCTAACAGAGTATCTACGAGTCACTGAAGCTGATAAATTCCTCATTCCAAAAACACCAACCAAAACCACATTTAAAAAGCAGAGTATTTCAACACAAACACTCAAGTGTAAGGTTACGAAGTGTGAAATGCATAAATAACTTGATCTTTGTGTGATAGGACAGAAAACTCAGTCAATAAGTGAAGAACTATTGAGAACTGAAATATAAACACTCAAAGATAATAAAGAAAGGAAACAAAAGGTTGCCTTGCAATGAGAAGTTTCACAACATTCTTTATGTAAACTCAGAAATTAAATTATTGCCATGTCAAAGTGGTTTTGTTTCTCTTCATTTTTCATTGTTAAAAAGTTTTATCCAAGCCTGAATCATTTCCTGTCTTGATAATTGCAATATGGCTTTCTCATTCCTCCTACACAACTAACATCCAAATCGCTATTGCCAAAGAGATTTTCCTCTCTTATTGCTAAATAGGTACCCCAGATCATTGGATGTTGCATGGACACACACACACACACACACACACACACACACACACATCTCTATCTTACCTGAACTCCCTACTGGAGCTTCCTAGCATGTGTCACCATCTGACTTACTGTATATATTACTTCTTGATCTTGTTAATGAACTGTCTATCCCCACTAGAATGTAAGCTTCATGAGGGTAGGTTTTAGTCTGTTTTATGCACTGTTGTATTATCATTGTCTTGAATGAAGCCTGATATATGGTAGATGCATTTTATATGTTTACTGAATGAATAAATGTGTCATTTAACTCTGCCCATTAAAGGTTCTTGCACTTGATTTCTGTATTTTTCAATCTCTTTCACTTAATAATATTTTATCTTCTCTCCCTCAACCCTTTTCCACAACCAGTTACAGTTGTCTCTGCCATCTTTGTTTCCTCTCACCATGCACTGGCCATGAATGTGCAGACATTAATTTTAGGACAACTTGTCCTGGTTCTTCTGAAGCTAAGTAGGGAGCTGATTCACCCAATGGGATTTCAAAGGATTGAGACCCAGGGCAAAGTGTTCCTTACTTTTGACAAAACAGGGGACCTGAACATGACACTGAGCAAAGCAGGGAAGGGAGAAGGCTGAAATCTGGATCACCAGTCAGCCATCTCCAGGACTGCCACACCCAAGGGCTCACAAGAGGGCTTTGCACACGAGCTTAGAACAGCCTTCTAGGCTGACAAGTCAGCCTCTGCCTTAAAAGGGCTGAGAAGAGAACTGAACCTACTAACATTCTTTACTGAAATCTAGCTCCTTCAAACACAGGCTGGACAGCCACTGGCCCAAGATATGTCAGAGGGATCTGGTGAGTTAGAGAGAGGGAGAGCTTGAATCAGTGGTTCCCATCCTTAGCTGGGCAGCCGCTTGGACATTCTAGAGCCCTACCTGAGCAGAATTTCTACAGACACTGCCTGGTAATGAGCTATACCCAAAGGGAGTTTTAAATACAGGTGGGAGTATTTTTGGTTGTCTATGCTTGGGAGCGTATGCATTTACCAGGCATAATTTGGGGCTACTAGACATTTTGCAATACCTAGGACAGCACAGCAAAACCAATTGTCCTCTATCCTAAAAAAACTTTTCAAACATCTCACCAGACTTCAATATAGGTAAAATCTGAGTCTGGAGCCTTGCCCTGTTTGTCATCTGTTTGTCATATAAACACAAAACATTTTTTGCACAGTTTTAATATGTATTGAATTTTCCAGAAATGCACTTACCATGTCAATCGAGAACAAGTTGAACTTGATTTTCTTCTGAAGGTTTATAAAACATCTTTCACTATAGGGGGAAAAATCACATTCCCAACAGCAATGCCACTTACACTGTTTGGCTCTCGGGCGAAGCACAGGCTGTTTCAGTCTGCATTTGCAGCTGCTGCATCACAGACTTCTCCGTGTATAGCTCAAGCATCTGATGGCTTCTTTCTGTCTTGTAACTCAGTCATGTCTACACCTGTATGTATAAAACTGAATATGGAGTAGCTTTTATACCTTCTTTATATTATAGCTAAGGTAATATATGTAAAGTTTTAATATCATCCGTCAGCAGGTTATGTGGTCAATGAATTTCATTTAGGGGGTATTATAAAATAGTTATTAAGAAAAAGAGCATTATAAGTCTGTTGAAGTTAAGAACCACTGATCTAAACCTTCTAATCGGTGCCTCAAAACAAGCTAATGATTGGAGTTGAAGACACAATTGTGTTTGATTTTCCTGATTGTCTACTTGTTCACTCTTGAGTGTATTCTACTCCCCTCATCCACAGTTCGTGATCTACTCAGCAATAAGTCTTTTCGGGAAAATCATTTCAAATTCCACGTCTTACTGTATCCCAGGCATCACAAAAGAGTTTTGTTCATGGATGGGCCCCTGGGAAATTGTGTATTACAGACCTTCTTAGCATTCCTCAGTTTTCCTTTAGAAGCACAGAAAACTAGAGCTTTCTCGTTCAACCTTGTTTTTATTAATGTGAGCCCTGCTTTGAACTCTTACACCCAAGACCACCAGGAGGGCTACACCCAACCATGTCTGCTGACACCCCAGCAGTAAGTGCCTCAATGGGGCTGGAAGGGCCTCACAGGGCCCAACATCCTGTGTTTCTTTCTCCCTTTTAGACACCCCACTTTTTTATTATTTCTTGCCTAGGTGACACTCTGTCTATCCTGACTGCTACATGCGACTTCATTCTGAACATACCTTCATGACCGTCCTCAACCCATGCCAGAACTTTTCCCTCACTTCCTCAGGAAGCTCTCAGTCCAAGAAACAATAATAAGGTTATCAAGAGTTATGACCAAGAAGAAAAGTAGACATTGTTTGTGCCAGTCTAAATCCAAGCTAAGAATTATTTTTGATGCAAAGATGATTAAGGGAGTTGGAAGAATATGTTCTCTCCTATGGATTTCCTAGCAAGACACTCCACAGAGTAAAGGCAGCATGAGCTAAACAATCAATGGGTTCTAGATAGTTGTGTGGCAGCCAAGGAAGAGCCTCCAAGAGAGCCTCCTGGCCATCAGCCTGGCAAGCACAAGGGTGGTGATATGGTTTGGCTGTGTGTCCCCACCCAAATCTCATCTTGGCTTATAATCCCCATGTGTCAAGGGAGAAACCTAATGGGAAGTGACTGGATTATGGGGGTGATTTCCCCCATGCTGTTCTCATGATAGTGGGTGAGTCTCAGGAGATCTGAACTTTTTCTTTTCCTTTTCTTTTGAGATGGAGTCTTGCTTTGTTACCCAGGCTGGAGTGCAATGGCATGATCTTGGCTCACTACAACCTCTGCCTCCCAAATTCAAGCAATTCTCCCACCTCAGCTTTCCGAGTAGCTGAGATTACAGGTGCTGGCCACCATGCCCAGCTAATTTTTGTATTTAGTAGAGATGGGGTTTCGCTATGTTGGCCAGGCTGGTCTCAAACTCTTCACCTCAAGTGAGCTGCCTGCCTCAGCCTCTCAAAGTGCTAGGATTACAGGCATGAGCCACCGCTCCCGGCCAGATCTGATGGTTTTAAAAGCAGCAGTTATTCCTGTGCTCTCACCTCACTTCTCCCACCTGCTGCCTTGTAAGATGCACTAGCTTCCTTCTTCACATGATTTTAAGTTTCTTGAGGCCTCCCAGCTGTGCAGAACTGAGTCAATTATACATTTTTTCCTTATTAATTACCCAGGCTCGGGTATTTCTTTTTTTTATTTTTATTTTTTTGAGACGGAGTCTCACTTTATCACAGAGGCTGGAGCGCAGCGGCACAATGTCAGCTTTCTGCAACCTCCACCTACTGGGTTCAAGTAACTATCTTGCCTCAGCTTCCCAAGTAGCTGAGATTACAGGCGCACACCACCACACCTGGCTAATTTTTGTATTTTTAGTAGACATGGAGTTTCACCATGTTGCCCAGGCTAGTCTGTAACTCCTAACCTCAGTTGATCTGCCCGCCTCAGACTCTCAAAGTGCTGGGACCACAGGTGTGAGCCACCACACCCAGTCTTGGGTATTTCTTTACAGCAGTGTAAAAACAGACTAATACGCTGCCAGGTCCCACACTACCCTTGTCTAACCTTTCCCTGCCTCAAGAATAGTTGGGGTAGTATGTGAGTACTTTACTTAGATAATCTCAGTAGATAAACCACTTTTTCTTTTCCTCTTCCCCTTTCCATCCCTTTGTCCTCTCTCCTTCGCCCTCTAGCTCACCATCTCTTTCATAACCTCTGCCAAGTCTCATTCCTTGCTATCAACCAAGAAAGACCTGTATGAGGCACTGTAGACATATTTCTATATGTTTTTACAATTGCATTCATGTTACATTATTTTATTTATTTATTTATTGAGACAGAGTCTCGCTCTGTTGCCTAGGCTGGAGTGCAGTGGTACAATCTCAGCTCACTGCAACCTCCACCTCTAGGGCTCAAGTGATTCTCCTGCCTCAGCCTCCCTAGTAGCTGGGATTACAGGCATGTGCCACCACGCCCAGCTAACATTTTTGTATTTTTAGTAGAGACGGCGTTTCACCATGTTGGCCAGGCTGCTCTGGAACTCCTGACCTCAGGTGACCTACCTGTCTCAGCCTCCCAAAATGCTGGTATTACAAGCATGAGCTACTGCACCCAGACTATGTATATACAAAGTATTATTTTGATATAATTTAGAACGATTTCCTCTAGTCTTTTAATTTACCATTAATATTTATGGGAAATTTTGCTTTGATTTACTCAAATTTGTTTTAAGCATGGAGCTCTGGGTATACCTCATTCCATAAAAAGCTAAATGTATTTATTTTTAAAATCTCAGCTTGCTTCTCAAAGTGAGTTTCATGACACTTTTCCCATAAGATACAAACACAATTCCACAGATAATAAGGATAGAATGGTATTATTACATGTGCAGTAAAATGTATTTGATTGATAAAACTTTGGCATTATATTATATCATCCTTTGAATCAGCAAACATTGCATTGGAATGCAGAATCACAGTGAATATAGATGTCTTTGGGTTGATGTTTACTCAGTTGATATCTGCTCAGCATACCTATATTTCTTAGTAAAGTAATCCAATTTCCCTGATCCCTTACTTCAGTCTACAGGCATGGGCCTAAAAGACGCCTTGGTCGTGGCTGATGGGGCCAAGAGTATTTGCTAGACCCAAAGCTACAGAATTCACATGCTCTCCCCAAGAATTCTACACTGAAATTGAAATACATGCAGTTAATGCCTATGCGCTATAGATGGAGTCAAAACAGAGAAAATACTGTTTAGCTTTGAACACCGCTTTGGCGATGCAGAGTGTCTGTGTTTTCTGAAAGCGAAGAAAGTTGGTTTTCAGAGAGAGAGAAAAGAAAGGAATGGAGACAAGGAGTTAAGAACGATTCCTTCAGACCCTGGCAGAAAACCTCCTGGGCTGGTCCAAGTTCTTCCAGAAACATGGCTATGTCCTTGCTCTTGGACTTTGCAAGGCCCTTCTGAATATTAACTATAATTTTTTGCTTGAACAAACCTGGCCCATACCTGATCCTGGCACTTAAAATCACCAACTCATAACTGCATGCCCCTCACGCATGCCCATTAGTAAACTGATTCCATTCTATTGCCAGGTTCAGCACTTCTCCGTTTCATGTCCACTCATTCATTATTGTCTGTGCACACGTGTGCATAGGAGAGAGGGAGAGAGAGAGAACTGATACAGAAAACTCTGATTTCAGTATAAAAGTTTTAGGCCCGGATTTCAGCAGGCCTGACTCAAAAACAAAGGCTCTCCATGTCTCACACTCATAATCTTCTCATGAGACAGATGTGTGGAATGGAATTCTGTCTTATTCGTGGAAAATTACATCCATAACTGCCAAAGGGCCCAGCTCTTCTTATTTACTGACCAGCATGTTTTCTTCTTCCAGGAGGGCCAGGCCTCTGTGAGATGGACACACTTTTTCTTTGGCCTTATTTCAAAGTACAGCATGGAAACCAGTCCATGACCTTAAGTTGGTCCACTCACACGTGTATTGATTCAAAGAGTGAAAGGTAATGGCAATTCTATTTTTGAAAGTATGAAACAAACGTATATCCTTTTCTTGATTCTGGTTGCCCACCAGCTTCACATCTTTAAAGGAGAGGCATCTATTACCTTCAGGTGAGGAAGATGAAGGCTAGAACAAAAAAAGGGGTTACATAGCTTTAAACTCCAGCATAGAGTTTAAGTTCATTGCAAGACAATAGCCTCAGTGAAAATATTGTTAGTTGCAGTATGTACAATAAGAAAAAAAATGCTTCCAAGTAACTAGGACCTATTCATTGCAAGATGCATCCTAATTTCAACGATGTTAAAATGTGGTTTTTTAAAATGTGCTCGGTTTTGTTGAGAGACAAAAAATGATATTTTTTGAATTCTCCAAATTGGGCTTGACATCTCAAGAGTCGTGGAGAAAGACTGGACCCAGAAACCCTAGAGTAAGCCAGGCTGGACTTGAACAGTGGGCACCTTCTGACCACACAGCCAGGGAGGCCCTCCCTGTAGAGCTAGAGGGAAGATCTGCAGAAGAAGAAAAAAGGAAGGCAAGAGCTCATCTCTGATGGTCAACTCTGGAAGAAGGAGTAGAAACTGAGTCACCGGGCTGGCAGAGGAGCAGCCTGGAAACAGAAGAGGCAGTCCCTTTCCAGAAGGCAGTGCTCAGTGACACGCGGCTCCACAACTGCGGGTCTGCCTCCAGCAATGCGGAGGAAGCTGACAAGAATTCCTAGGCACCAAGGAGGGCGATAGAAGTTGCTAGAGAAACCAGAGGACCAGAAGAGGCCTGGAGAGAAACCAGGAGTTTAGGGGGTCACATCTGTGGGCAACAGCAAAGTCCATGGTGGTCAGCACTGGGTGGCTGGATGTCCCAGACCCTTGGGGCAATGACATATAGTGCACGGGCTGCAGCAAGGACCCAAGGGCAGGGCGTGGCCATTGACCAAGCAGGATGAGCCATCTCCCTGGGACCAGC